AAAAAAAATCGTGCCTATGTATTTTTAATATTTTTTAACTGCTATTGTTACAATGTGTTAGAAGCCATGTATTAAATTTTTAAGCTTTTCTACGGAACATTCAGTGAAAATTTCAAGTATCTGCAGTCATTTGTTTTAGAGTKACACCAAAATAAARAAATCGCTAAAAGTGAAAATCCAATGTTGTAAAAATTTAAATTTCAAATGATGATAAAAATGTAATTTGCATTTCCGATGGAAATTTTTTTTGTGATAAAGATTGAAAAACTTGTAAGGAATCTTATATTAAATTTTTAAATCTTAGTTTAAAAAAGAATATTTTTTATGAATTTCTAGCTTGAAATATTTTGTGAATTTTTGTGATGTTTACGTATTTTTTCAAAATTCAAACTTTGAATGCTTATAAAAAAAAATTGTGACCATGAATTTCTTTTATTTTTCAACTGCTATTGTAAMAATATGTTAAGAGCMTTGTATTAAATTTTCAAGCTTTTCTGCTTAACAAATACATTTTTATCGATATTAATTTTAAAAAAACTAATAATGATCGAACATTTTCTCGAGCATTTTTACTGCCCCAAAACGTGATGACAGACACAAAAAAAACACATATCATGGTAAAATCAATACATTCATCGTTCCGCTCAGAATCTAAAATTTAAAATGTGGTCTTTAAATATATTACTTGAAAGTTCTTTAAATCATAATATTTTGGAGAACTATATAATTGAAGAAAAAAGGGAGTGTGATGCATACTTGATGAATCACCATGTATATAGGTAAAAACTAATAAGTAAATGAATATCCTCATCATACAAATACCTAAACGTTAAACCGGCATGTGATGTATCCGTCTTATACAAGTGCGCATAACATTACAAATTTTACGCTCAGAAGATCACGTTTAGCTCCGTTAGTTAAAAATTTAAAGTGAATTGAGCTCTTATAAAAATTAAAAATAACATTATTATCTAAGGCTTCTCTAAGGCTTTTTATTATATTTTAATTTTAACTTGAGTTATTAGTATTTTAAGATATACAAACAATTTACAATTTTAAAAGACTCATTATTTGCTTTAAAATTAATATATGGTAAAAAACTTATGATAATAAGCCCTAGATAATAAATTTACCTTTAATTTTTATGAAAGGTCAATTCACTCTAAATAACTAACAGAGCTAAAAGTGATCTGCTGAATTTAAAATTTGCCATGTTACACATTTGTAAGACGGAGACAACACATGCGGATGTAGCGTCCTCTTAAGACTTTATTCATATGTGATTCTATGGGAATTCATCACAAATTATGCCGYTGCCTTAAATGGGCCCTTGTATTAGACTAAATGGGCTCTTATCCTCCATACATTTTATAGACGCTTCACATCTAGAATGATAATATTAAATTACATAATTACTATAATATGACACATTTTATTCAATTTTTGTACAATTGTATATATATATAAAAAAAGTATAAATATTTAGAAATTGAAAAGAGTAATATGAGCTCAACTCAGCTTCACAAAGTTTACAGGGTTAGGTTAGGTTAGGTTAGACCTAACCCGGATCACCCTATAGAAGATTCACCCAAGAGACTTATGCTTTAATTTGATCATATATTATAAGGAGATAAATGCATTGCACCAACATACTATGTAAAAATATGTAAGATATTATTAAACATTATAAGTTTATTTTAATTATTGTTAAAATTATTAAAATCAGCGCGAGCTCAGCCTATTATGGTGACTTTCCTAATTACTCTTTTTACCAGTTATGATATAAAATGTGATTACTAATTAAGTGGTCAAACACGGGAATAAACGAATGAATCCATGTTCAATTGGCAGTATTTCGGGAATGTGTCATTTTTTGTAAACATACACCGATGCACAACATACAAATATAAAATAAATATTATGTAGAAAATTAATTAAATCTAATCAAAACATCTAATATTGATCTATATGCTCAGTACATGGTGTGAGATGGTATACTGCAATTATTGTGTGTAAACCCGTTTTAAGTGTTTTAACGTGTTACTTATATAATACTTACAATAAGACAATATATTATGTTCTACCACACGGATTAGGCGGAGATTATTTAAAAACGAGTTATATACGCCGCAACAATAACTACACTCCAATGGTAAGAGTGGACTAAATTAATYACCTAATTCTTGTTATTCAGTGTTATATATTATAACGAATAATAATATACCTACTTGTTCATTTGATTTATTTTTATTATAAATATTGCGTAACACATAATGACTAACAATAACCAAAATAATGATCTTGAATAAAAACATAAGGAATACCTACGTATTATTACCCACGTATCGTAATGTTTTACTTTGTTGATATGACGAAACCGGATCGCAAATTCATCATTAAATCATATATCATATAAATATAATATAATACCAAGGAACGTAGTCAAATGCTGAAGATTATATTAATATAAATGTTTAAAAATTAACATCTGAAATCTATTCGTTAGACATTATTTTATTATGTTGTTAAAAATATAAAAATCGTATCCTATCCATCTATTGATAACAGTTATCAAAATATACTTGGTTGTTATAAAAACTCTGAAATACTGTAAAAAAAAAAAATAAAAATATTTTCGATAATAAGTATAAAAGTCTTTAAAAAATACGTATATGTTTGTTCAGATTACAGGTTTTCGAACTTTATAAGTGTAACCTCCCTGCTCTTTATAAGTATTTCAAGGATCCGTTATCGACAAGGATATTCACATATAATTTTACAGTTTCCAACTCATAAGCAMGGTAACATATTTRAGAGTGAGGGAAATCTGCGTTGTAACTTAATTGTAATGCATWTCATTAGGTTAAACTAAAATATTGTGATTTGTACGTTTACGACCAACATTATTCATATATCATATATTTTCAATCCATAAAGTAATTTATTTTTCTCAAATCGATTCCGAAATGTGTTCATTTTTATTACCTATATTGGAAATTTTTAAATTTTCTAAACTTTTTTATCGATAATATGATAAAGACGCATAATATGACACTGCATATTATGAATGAACTATATAGGTATGTCTAATATATATATTATATATATTATATATTCAATAAAATATATAAAACCCAATTTAAGCTTTTAATGACTAATATTATTATTATATAGTGTTTTTGTTTTGGATTGTTGTAGTATTTTTTTTTTTGTGTTGATGGACAAAATATAGCGGGTAAAATTGATTTAAAAGTAAAAAATGAAACTGGTGCTCTTGATTCGGCAATATTTTTATTCTTTAAACGCCAATGGGTTTAAAAATAAATTTATTTTGGCGACTTTCACTCATCTATAATCTATGTGTGTCAACTAATTTGTAAATACTTATCAAATGTGATTTTCCAAGCATGCTCGCCACCATTTTTTTTTCAATAATGAATGTATCATTCAAATACTATTTTTTTTAGATTTTTTAAGTAGTTATACGCGATCCGCTGATCGATCTTTAGGGGGATATCAGTGAATTGTGATAAAAAATTAATTATATCAATATTGATTGATCACGTCCGTAATTTTAAACACTCTTATTTTATGCTTTATATACAAAGTAAAGTATTTACTGGCGAAAAAATAGGTGTAATTTTCCAATTGAGAAAGAAAAATATTATTATACAATATATTAGTATAATGCTTCATATACTGATTTAAAATAATTATAGTGATCGATCACCAGGTACTGAGGTACTTGATCATTTTAATGTACCACACTTGTTAGAACGAGCCGGCGCTGGCGACCCCTAGCTGTTTTACACCATTTAAGGAGTGTCCTATTTGCGATACAACCTTTAAAAAAAAATTGGAACCAATCTACAATCAGTGCCGGCCCAAGATAAGGGCGAAACGGGTGGTTGCCCGGGGCGCTACTTTTTTAAGGGCGCTATTAATATACGAATATATTTTATACATTTTAGCGTAATATTTATTCAACAAATTGACAAAAATATAGCTAAATTATTATCTATGACAGAATATTCTGTTATATATTTTACTCCACTTTCCAGTTTTTATTATTATATTACAAATAATTACAAAATAATATACAATGATATATAGGTAATCATTAACTCGGGAAAACCAAAAAAGTATGTGTTACAGCCGATACGTCTATAAATTGTATCTAAATAAGTTTTGCAATCCTTTACCTAT